TCAATAATGTGTTTGCAAGGTTACACTTTTATTAACAACTAAAACACATCGAACAAGTACATGTTTTTCGTTGACCAATAAAAGGTGCTTTTGGCGCCCAAGTTGATGCTCTTACTAGCCTTAGCCGAGCGGCAGAATCAACAAGGTTCAAGGTGGCTTCAGGAAAAAAACATAAGCCGATAATGTAAGTCCAGGTTTATTTTTGAGTCCATGACGTTATTTTTTTCGATCAATACACATCAATTTCTGTGTTTTATTATAGCTGGTACACCAAGGATTACTCAAAAAATCTTTCTGATGCCTAAAAAGTGTCCGAAGCTGACAAATCAATTGCAAAATTTTCATTACAACGTCCATTTTGAAAATGTAGAAAAAACTATCATTAAAAATCAGAGTATCATTTTATAGTAAGGTTCTTCTTAGATAGAAAAAGAAGGTGACCTTAGTTGACAACGGACAAAAACTGCCAGAAATGAAGTTGAGGAGAAAGCTGGGCCACACAGCGCTCTCGATGAGGTGGCAGTCGCGTTAAGTGGCAGAGACAGGAGCGAGGAGCTAACTTTTATAAACTTCTCATGAGAAGCCAATCAGAAAGTTGGCTCTAAGTGCTCTGGGACGTGTAATGAAGTTTTTGAAACGCACTAAAGAAACCAAACTTGATTCCGCCTCATTTGTTGACGCGAACTTGCCTGCTCGTGAGATGGATTGTCTTTCTGCCGCCGCTGTCAATCGGAGGGCGTAAGGGTCGTTATCTTAGAAGATTGTTTAATTGGCGTAAATGACATTAATATTATTATTCTATTAGTATTATTTATTAATATAATACTATAATACCATTTTTTGGGCTTATATCACATTGGAATAGGAATTAGCACATTATTATTCATTAATATCTTCACCAGGCTTTCCACTTGCAAGATACGGACATCTTTGAAACTCATCAGCTAAGGAATTTCCGGACTCTAATTCTTTTATATCAATATTCTTCAGTTACAGATAGACCCCATGCACCCTCTGGCCTACTCCTGCTGCTGCCTCGGTCTGCTGCTTTTTGCACCAGAACCCTGCGGTCTGATCCGCCTCGCGGTGTAGACCCATCGTGTCCTAACCTGTCTCCCAGACCCACAATTTTCGCTGCAAGGGCTCCATTTAGACCACTCACTAAACTGGTCCCGCGGCAAAGTTGCCTTCACTTCAAAAACCGACGCTCGCTCAAAACTCGGCCCTCTCATTCTCGTGATTTTCTCCAGGCTTTCTTCTTTCTCTGAAAGTTGTCGTCTTCGAGAGTTTTTATGCCATTTTTCCTGCACGGTTACTGGGTCGGGCAGTCGGCGATGTTGTGTCTTGCTCGACTGCTGCACGCCATTGTCCATCTCAAGCTTCTGGTTCAGCAGTTCTTGTTCCCGAGTCCAAGAGTTCTTGTCCAAGATTAGACTCACTTTGACGTCTTGAGACAGCGATATTTTTGATAGATGCAGTAATACAGAAATCTACAGTAGTAGAAAAAGTGGCATGCTTCACGAAAAAAGGATATAATATAATCAATTTTTTTAATAACAAGTGTATGTAAACAGTCTGATATTTACTTTTACTATTCTCCTGAATGAATAAATTATAAGAATAATTCTTCCGAAATTGAACAACTTCGCGAACGAATTTTCAAGCTCCAATTTGATTCGCAGTTATATAGGATTTTTAATTCAGCACATTTTTCAATTTTCGGATTGGTATTCTTATAGTTTGTATTTTGTATACCTAGCATCAAAATCTTGCTCGAAACTAAATATTTTTAGAGCATTTCATTATTTAAGATTTTCGTTAAGATCCTTCCATTTTTTACATCGCTATTAAGACAAAGTCCCTCTCATTTCTCTGTCAGGATTTGAGGCAGATATTGCGATGATCAGTCAACAGCAAGTCCTGCAAGTAATTTTAAATGAGAACAATGCGTTGGGAGGGCAAAAACGATGCTCTCGTTAAATGAAAACTTAACGAGATGGCCTGGCCGCTCGCTTTTGAACTCTCTACTGAGGAAATTAATGGGTGATATTGTCCAAATAGTGAAGTAATTTCTTAGCGCATTGCTGATATGCAATTTTGCCGGGTAAAACGGGCTGAGAATAACCCACACATGAGCAAAACGGGTATCGCTATTTGGACAAGTTCTCACGCATTTCTGTGAGTGTATTCACTATATGTTCAGTGCGTAAACCTTGCGATAGCGAATTCCCAGCTGGCTTCCATAGCCCATTAAGTGAATAATGGATGTGAAGGAACTCGTGGCAGAGATGCACGCATTTCAGAGAAATGCGTGTGACTTTGTCGAAACAACGATATACTTTTTGCGATCGTGTGGGTCATACGTCATACTGATCCACTTTGGCTTGGTGAAAAGCGTATCGGTGCTACGTTCGCTCCCTGCTCGTGCTGTGGATGGAAAAGTGTGTTACTATTTTAACAATATGACCCATTAATTTTTGTGAGTGTAGACCTTCATGCCAGATACTTCCTTGACGGGAAATCAAGCGCGTTGAATGAAAGACTGGGCGATGATTAATTAAAATCAACAGCTAAAAAGTGAAGGCCATTATACAGGACGTAGTTACTGCTGACACACCTTGCTTGCATGTCGAGTATAGAGAAGCTACTCTTATTTTAATGGCTGCAAGCACACTGAGCCTGAATGTGAATGAGTGCTTGAGTTGAAAAAACGTGTTGTAAAAAGATATAACAGAATTAAAGTATATTTTGCATTTTCATTCTACATTTGTGGAGTTTACAAAAGCATAGGAAAAATTTAACTGAAGATTTAACGAAATTGTTGGTTCTGCTGTCGGTCCAAGATCTTGGTTCCGATGTTGGGTCTGCCGTTGGTCCAGGATGTTGGTTCTGATGTTGGTCCAGGATGTTGGTCCAGGATGCTGGTATGGATGTTGCTTCAAGATGTCTGTTCTGCCGTCGGTCCGAGATGTTGGTTCTAATGTGGTCTAGGATGTTGGTTCAGGCCAACGGTGCTTCGGTGCTCAAGTCAATTAAGACGCGCCGGCGACCAGTTCGCTGCGGGAGCCGATATAGACCGCAATAGACCAATGTAGCAGATTCAATAGACCAATGTAGCAGCTTCAATAGACCAATGTAGCAGCTTCAATAGACCAATGTAGCAGCTTCAATAGACCAATGTAGCAGCTTCAATAGACCAATGTAGCAGCTTTGGTAGACCAAGAAAAGCCCGTTAGTAGACTAAAAGTAGCCCGTTCGTAGACCCAGAGTATCCCGTTAGGAGTCGGTCAGCTTCAAAGGCGAATTAATCATTTATTTTATTTATCTTTAGAATCACGAATATTTTAACATCGCCTTCATCTCGCAGGTTAAAATATTTTGACCAAATTACCGAATGATAGCATGACATAATAATTAATGATGTCATTCAATGACACAATAATCAATGATGTCACTAATTAATGATGATAATGATGATGATTATTATTTTATAAATCATAATTGTCAATTTCCACCTAATATTATACTGGTATGACTCGTTATAGCCAGGAAGTCATAGTGAACATTCTTCTAAGCTCACATAATCAATGGCAACGAACGAAGCGAAATCCTCACTAAACTTGAGGGCGTGAGGGGAATTTTACGGCATCAGGACCTGACTTTCGTAGCGTGCACTCATGAAAATGAGTGAGATTTAGTACAAATAACAATGCACTTTTTTAAGCTTGTGTGGGTCGACTAACACAAACCGGAAATATGTAAGACTGTAATATTCTTATGTACCATTGTTAGTCCGAACGCAGACATAAGGTAAAAGAGAGAATATTTCGAGTTTATATACACCTCTAAAGAAGATTTCCATCCTAATCATTGCAGCTGAAACCTAAATATTGGATGAAACAGTAATACGGTATTCCTAAGTGTCCTACAGCCCCATTACGAAGGCTTAGACTTAATCCTAAGATCCTTCGAAGTGACTAGTAGACTTTACGAGCCCTCCGTGGGAACATTGCGACAACCCGTGCTGCGTTCGATCTAACTTGCACATAAATGTACAGCTTGATGTAACTTAGCCCAAACTCAAGTGTCCCAACTTATCAAGAAGTCAAGTTACTGCTGAGATCAGTGCTTTGTTAATGGCCATCACAGACCCGCACTTGAGCATGAGCATTCATCAGAGCAGCTAATTGCAGGTCAAGAATGTCGTGTATGAATCACAAGACTGCATTTCCTACTAATTTATGGTCATGCCGTCTGATGAATGGACTGTGACCGCTTAGAATGCCTACGTGGTTAATAGTGAGTTTTTCTTAAGCTAATGAGATTTTTGATTAGTCATCAGTTTCTAATTCATTAACTTTTCAATTACTGCAGTCTTTCATGCGGTGTTTGAAGAGACCGCTACTGGTGTCATTCCCAGATATTTCTGATTCAAGTTCGATACATTACATCACGATCCTTTTTACTGTGCGTTTATGCTTGTTATTATTTAGTCCAATACCTAAATTTAAGGATATTGTATGAAACCGAATAAAAAGTCACCGGAACTTTCAAGTGAAGTATACATACGTATCCATTAGGAATAATTGCTGATAATATATATTCTTCATGTTGCAAAGCCGTGGGCAAACGAAACTTATAAATGCTTGTCTTTTTTATATATTTTCTATGTATGTTCTTCGTTCTTTATGAATAATATTCTTATCAATGAAGTAATGGTGTAAAATAGTAGTGTAATAGTAATAGTGTAACATAGTAAATATCATAGATTTCACACTTGGCGATGGTTCCTTATGTCATGTATTTATAAATTAGAATTGCGTACTTTTTAATGGTACTATTGATTAAATAGTACATGGTGATGGCTGCACGATATTCAGAGAAGAAAAACGTGCCTCCTGCACCGAGTTGTTGTTAAAGTACTCGTTCTTTACAAGGAAGTTAGTAATATTTCTTATTTGTCATTGTTCCAAATAAACAATATATTATGTTGGGTACAGGCGCGATCTTCACCGAAGAGCAGCGCGACTCCAGCACGGAGCTGGCATTCAAGTACGCAGTGTACCGCATCAACAATGACAAGGCCATCCTACCCAACACGACGCTCGTGTACGACATCCAGTACGTGCCTGCCGACGACTCCTTCCATACCGCAAAGAAAGGTGAGACGTATATTTATTAATCATGTGTTTAATATCGGGAGGTTAAGTGTGATGAAGTGATGAATGAATTGCTTTCACGGTGTGGCAGGTTAAGTTGCCATTCCTTGCACATATGGAAGAAAGGTGAGACATATACTTATTAATCATGTGTTCAATATCGGGAGGTTATGTGTGGTGAAGTGATGAATGAACGGCAAACTCGGCGTGGCAGGTTAAGTTGTGATTCCTTACACATATGAAAGAAAGGTAAGACTTATACTTATTAATCATGTGTTCAATATCGGGAGGTTTTGTGTGATAAAGTGCTGAATGAACGGTAAACTCGGTGTGGCAGGTTAAGTTGTGATTCTTAACGCAATGGCAAAAAGGTGAGACTTATACTTATTAATCATGTGTTCACTATTGGGAGGTTGTGTGGTGAAGTGATGTATGAACGGCTTTCACGGTGTGGCAGGTTAAGTTGTGATTCCTTACACAATTAGAACAAAGGTGAGACTTGATCATGTTGTACTGGCTGTTAAACCTGGTGTAGCTTGAGAAATTGTGCGAGATAAATAGACGGATTTCTCGGCTTGGCAGCTTAGCCTAAATTTGCAGGTTAATTTCCTTGCACACTGCCAAGAAAGGTTAGACTGATTCATCGTGTACTGGCAGGTTAACCCAGTGTGTTGGTTTGCTTAGTTTGAAACCCCCCGCAACCCTCGTTTTAGTCTCGTTACAACCCCCCGCAACCCTCGTTTTAGTCTCGTTACAAACGCCCAAAGCAAAGCTCGACGCCGCCATTGATCTCGATGAGAGGCGCCGGCGGCTGTGATCTTTCGTTCGTGTAGCTCGGCCATCAGTTTGAAATATCCCAGCTATTCCATAGGCGAAATTTACGGCTCCGATATTAGCCCTTTGTTTTTTGGCCGATGTGTCTTCATGTTGGAGGCTACTGAAGTTTATCCCGAATGGTTGTACTTCGATCAAATCTTTATAAGGAAATATTATCTTCTGAGCCATGAGCTTCATGTGAAATGCTGCTCTTCGAAGACTTTTGAATCTCACTTGAAATATTCGCGTAGTTTACCGTGAACTTTAGCACTTTGAAAATCCACTTCCTCACTCTTCTGGGTCGTTTATACGCAAGGTGCGTGAGCCTATCGGCCCCGCGACAAATTTGCTAGTCGTGACTTTCACTCCAGACTCCCTGAACTTTATCCTACCATGAACCTTATCCTACCATGAACCTTACCCTACCATGAACCTTATCCTACCGTGAACCTTATCCTACCATGAACCTTATCCAACCATGAACCTTATCCTGCCATGAACCTTATCCTACCATGAACCTTATCCAACCATGAACCTTATCCTGCCATAAACCTTATCCTGCCATGAACCTTATCCTGCCATGTACCTTATACTGCCATGAACCTTATCCTGCCATAAACCTTATCCTGCCATGAACCTTATCCAACCATGAACCTTATCCTACCATGAACCTTATCCTATCATGAACATTAATCCTACCATGAGCCTTATCCTACCATGAACCAAATATTACTATGTACTCTATTCTTCCATGAGCCTCATCCTAACCTGAACCCTATGCTTTCATGAACCATAACCCATCATGAATCCTTCACTACCATTTGGACCCTTTCCTATAAAAACCCTGTCCTATCCGCATGCCGTGCTACCCAAGACAATGGGTCAAAATCAAATCTTACCCAATGGTATTTCACTCATGTTACCCACGTCAACTCTTGATCCAACATTTATTGCCCACATTTTCTTTGTTGGCTCATTTATACATTTAAGTGCTTCAAGGGTACTGTTCTTCTTAAAATAATTTCATATACAGCCACGTTCAGGTAATTTAGAATCCGATGTGAGGATTATTGTTAGTTCAGTGTGCTGTCCAAATTTATTGTTGTCACAACATATTCGTCATAGGACGAATAAAAAGTTCCAAAACCACAGAGTGATTAAATTAAAGCAAGTTCTCGCTCATTTATTTATTGACACACAAAACTTCTCGAGCCTTAGTGTTTTCCACATCCTAAAGAAAGATTTTCGAAACAGGAAAGGCCTACGTTATATTAGAAAATATCTTTGACCATTATCAATACGAAAGACTAAAAGGAAATACATTCTTGGTCTTTTACAGTATATTAGGTATCGTCTGAAATGATCATGTTCTAAATAAGACATCTTGGGTGGAGACTGAAAGCCTCGTTTGAGGAAATGGGAATGTATGGACCGAGTCGCCGTGGCGCCGCCTGCTGCTCTTTGCTCAAATCTCGATGTTCAATGTTAGTATTGCGTCTAGAAACATCATCTATAGATGTTGGGTGTTGCTCTTGAAACCAACATTATTTGCTGATGCACTAGATGTAGGATGTTAATGTTGCTCTTAAAACCTACATTACTTCCTGATGCACTAGATGTAGGATGTTAATGTTGCTCTCAAAACCAACATCATTTCCTGACGCACTAGATGTAGGATGTTAATGTTGCTCTCAAGACCAACATCATTTGCTTAAACACTAGATGTAGGATGTTAATGTTGCTCTCAAGACCAACATCATTTCCTGACGCACTGCATGGATGTAGGATATGTTAGTGATGCCCTTACAACCAGCATCATTTTGCACGCACTAGGCGAAGGATGTTAGTGATGTTTTCTAAACCAGCATCACTTCTTGCTTGGTCAATGGAAAGAGATAAGTCAATTCTCTAATTATTTATTAGAAAATTTATTTAGTTCGTCACTGCTGAAATTATAATCTTTTATTCAATCCGTTTCCAGGCTAAAGATTTTCTTTTTGGGCGCTTCAAGGAACAATGTTATTTCACTCATTGATGAAACTTATGAAGTTCAAACATTCATAAATGCAACCTAAAATTTCGACCCATATTATTATATAATATTATGTCCTTAATTAATTGTATTACTTATATTATGTGTATCATATTCTTAGGATTATTATTGTAATTTATTAAATTTTATTGGTTGCATCTTCGTGGCTGCCTCAAACCGAGTATTTCTCTTCTTGATTTCATTGCTTCTATTCAGTAATATCTTCATCACTTTGTCTACTGTTCGTTCACCACATCATTGTTTGCATTCGTATCACCACCTCACCATCATCATTACCAGCACGTCGTATGATCACAACTCACCAATGCCTCATCACCACCACAAGTCACCACCACAAGTCACCACCACAAGTCACCACCACAAGTCACCACCACAAGTCACCACCACAAGTCACCACCACAAGCCATTAAGACCATCAAAGTTGCGGCCCAGGCACGCGGTGCCGTCGTGACGTTTGATTCGATGAGGTGGCAGTGGCTGCATCAGGACGATGCGGGGGCGGCAGGAATGGCATGGAGGCATTGGGAATGGGGTAGAGGCGTCAGGAATGGGGGAGAGGCATCAGGAACGGGGTAGGGGCGTCAGGAACGGGGTAGGGGCGTCAGGAAATGGGGAAGGGCGGCAGGAATGGCATGGGGGGCATCAGGAATGTGGTAGGGTTGTTAGGAATAGGAGAGGTGCGTCAGGAATGGGAGAGGGGTGTCAGGAATGGGGTAGGGGCGTCAGGAATGGGGGAGGGGCGTCAGGAATGAAGGGAGGATGAAGACCACGCTAGAGAGAGAAAACCAAAACAATAAATCATCGTGACCCAGAAAAGAAGGAAGAAAGAAAGAAGAAGAACCACATGAAGAAAGAAGAAGAAGAACCACATGAAGACGTGCATTAGATGAGACCGAATCAAACAGAAGCTCAAGTTCGTCCCGCGGATGATTGCTTCGTCCGTTCATCAGAAATTTCAATAATCTAATATAATAATAGTCACAAGTTTCAATAATCTTTGCAGGAAATTTGATGCGAGGGTTGGAGTTGGTTTAGTCCCAAGCCAGCCTTGTCCCCAGGGCCGTTTGCTCACAGTCTATTTGCGCTGCAATCTCGACATATTAAAGCCTTACGCATCTTTTGTGCCCTGCCGTCCGTTGAGACTACGGCATTCTCACCTTACTTCTTGTTGTGAGCATTGCCATCCGTTGCCACAATGAGGGACTTGTGGAAATTGCCATCCGTTGCCGCTATGTGGGACTTGTGGAAATTGTCGTTCGTTGTCACTATGGGGGACTTTTGGAAATTGTCGTTTGTTGCCGCTATGAGGGACTTGTGGAAATTGTCGTTTGTTGCCGCTATGAGGGACTTGTGGAAATTTTCGTTTGTTGCCGCTATGAGGGACTTGTGGAAATTGTCGTTTGTTGCCGCTATGAGGGACTTGTGGAAATTGTCGTTTGTTGCCGCTATGAGGGACTTGTGGAAATTGTCGTTTGTTGCCACTATGAGGGACTGGTTGCAACTATCGTCCGTTTAAAAATCGTGCATTGCCATTTGGTATTTTTATAAGGGAAATTTATTGTCTTCTTTGATAATCTCAAAAATATTGTCGCTTGTGATTCAACATACAAGATTAGTTTTTCCTTACAGAACTGAGTAATTTGATAACTAATTTATTATATTTACGTTCCGCTGCGCCTTTTTGCTGTTGTTTTAATCTATTTGATTTCGGTATAACTCCCTCTGGGGAGTGGATGGCCCAGTGGTTACAGTTCATAGTACCGATTGGAGCATTGAGTTGCGGGTCCGATCCCAGCTACCTGCGACAATTTCTAGCTGGAATCGGCTAGGAGGCGGGCGGTTAAGCACTGCAAAATTTGAACAGTGAGTTTTGGGTCTGAGACTGGAGCAACCTGTGAATGTTCTGCAATGAAGAATGGGCGACAGGCCTACGCGCGGCTTTAATTAAGACTGACTTCGCTATATTATACTATACTCTTATCCCAAGCCGGATCCATCTATAAGTTCCTACTTGTGATCTCATCACATCTCTTCTCCACATCACCGAGCGATATCTCTCCACAAAATTTGTACTCCCAATTCCGCTGTCGACAAAATTCACTCCCCTGAAGCTCTTTTTACCGCACCCCTTCTCTAAATCTCCCCACACCCCCCACGCTGAATATTTCTCCCAAATCTACTCAATAAATCCCCCGGCAAAATCCACCCTCCCCAATCCCTCGGCCAAATCTCCCGCCAGATCCCCCTGCCAAATCTTCCTCCCCAATCCCCCTGACATAACCCCCCGTCAAGTCCTCCCCCTTGAGTGGGGTTGTGTTGAAGCCCTACAAAGCCCCAGGAGCAGCCTTCCAAGCTGCCCTTGTAATGCACTGCTGCTGCACGCTTAATATTCACTCTTATTCCAGCCTTACTCGTTCATGCTCAACTGCTTTATAATCACCCTCAATCCACCCTCAATGGTCTATTCTTAAGTGCTTTATATTCACCCTTGATCCACCCTAAATCGTCTATGCTGAAGTGTTTTATATTCGCCCTTAATACATCCTAAATCGTCTTCGCTTAAATGCTTAAATTCACCCTTAATCAACCCTAAAACAACTATGCTAAAGTGATTTATATTCACCCTTAATCCACCCTAACTCGTCTATGCTTAGGTGCTTTATATTAACTATTCTTCAAATTCTTCTTATTGTTTACTATGATGGTGATAGCAATAATCAACCTATACACATGACAATAAAAATGTAAGAAAATGTTACATTCATAAAATCGGCTCTCCATTAGGATTGTCGACATACTTGTTAATTACTTCTGTTCCAATAAAAATTTCATATGCAACTTCAACTTAAGATTCAAAGAAATTTCAACGAATTCTAAAGGATTCTGAAATGTTCCTTCACTCGGCTGCAAGTAAGAATTTTTCAACAAACCTATCAACCTTCGGCCCTTTCATGTTCAACGTTCAATTGTACCTAAACGAGAGCAAGCATTCAACAAACCTTTCAACATTCACAATTTTCGTGATAACCTGCCCATACTATCACCATTTCATATTCACCCTTATGTCTTTTCACCCTTTCACGTACACCTTGTCGAAGATTCTCCCATGATTTTCTGAAGGTGTACGGAGGACCAATTATGAGATGGCCTAAAGTCCTTTAAAGTGGACGCAAAAATTCGAGTAGACAAAAACCCTGTTAAGTTCGACCGTGTCCAATTGGACCAATCAAGTCGATGGTAAAACGGCCTTCAAAGCTTTTGAAAAACTGAATATATGAAAGATTTTTAAGTCATCACTGTCAAAATTAAAGTGAATTTCAGGTAAGAATTGTATTAGTTCAAGATGAAGGAATGTGTCTTCTTGGAACGTGGAAACTGCTGACTCATCGAAATTTTGGTGCCTTGATTGCCAAGCGTGGGATTCACAATTACATATGATATTCATCTTTAAAAGTAATTAAAGATATCGTGGAAGTTTATTGGCGTTAAATAAATGTAGTGTTGAATGAAAAAAATATTCCGATTGCCAAATTGTGTGTGAGAGTTATTCCTAGATGAGTATTATGAAATCGGGCTCAGAAAGCACTCTATTACAATTATGAACGATTTGTCACGTAGCTGTTAGTAATGAAGCTAAGCTTGTTTAAATTATCATATTTCATATTCTAATTGTGTTAGATTATTTGTTTAATTTCTTAATATATTAATTTTCCTTAGAGTTCCTGTTTTCCTCTTTTATCTTAATTTCTTCTTATAAACCAAAATTTCTCAATTCACTCCTGCTTGTGAAAGTCTTCATCGTTGATTTTATTCATCTTTCATTTATCTTTATTCTAATTTCTATTCCGCACATTCCTGCGAGGAAACATAGTTTCATTTTTTAATCCATCTTATCTCGATTTTCTGTACGAGTTTTCCTTTATTTCTTCCTCCCGTTGCATGGGGGGTCTACGCGGAGTACACCCGCGGGTGTCCCCGCACCCGCGGGTGTCTCAGTACCCCCTCACCCGCGGGTGTCTCCCCGCACCCGCGGGTGTCTCAGTACCCCCTCACCCGCGGGTGTCTCGTTGCCCTCGCGGGTGTCTCGTTACCCTCACGGGTGTCTCGTTGCCCTCGCGAGTGTCTCGTTGCCCTCGCGAGTGGATGTCTCGCTGCCCTCGCGGGTGTATCGTTACCCTCGCGGGTGTCTCGTTACCCTCGCGGGTGTCTCGTTATCCTCGCGGGTGTCTCGTTGCCCTCGCGGGTGTCTCCTTGCCCTCGTGGATGTCTCGTTACCCTCGCGGGTGTCTCGTTACCCTCGCGGGTGTCTCGTTACCCTCGCGGGTGTCTCGTTGCCCTCGCGGGTGTCTCGTTACCCTCGCGGGTGTCTCGTTGCCCTCGCGGGTGTCTCGTTAGTTTGATCAGCATTATCTGTTTGATCAGCATTATCAGTTTGATCAGCATTATCAGTTTGATCAGCATTATCTGTTTGATCAGCATCATCAGTTTGATATCAGCATTATCAGTTTGATCAGCATCATCAGTTTGATATCAGCATTATCAGTTTGATCAGCATGATCTGCTTGGTTAGCATCATCTGTTCGGTCAGCATATGTTTCGGCTGCATCATGTGCTTTGTCATTATGGTCGATTTGGTTAGCATTGTTTGTTTAATCATCATTATCGGTTTGGTCAACATAATCAGTTCGGTTAGCATGTGCTGCAGTGGAGAATCTTGGTGCTTGATAGGATCCTGTAATTCTATCCTCGGTGCAGTATAGGATCCTGTAATCCTATCCTTGGTGTAGTATAGGATCTGTCTCTTATACACATCTAGATGTGTATAAGAGACAGGTATAGGATCTTGTAATCATATCCTCGGTGCAGTATAGGATCTTGTAATCCTATCCTCGGTGCAGTATAGGATCTTGTAATCCTATCCTCGGTGTAGTATAGGATCTTGTAATCCTATCCTCGGTGCAGTATAGGATCCTGTAATCCCATCCCTGGTGCAGTATAGGATAATGTCCCCCAATCCTTGTTGCAGAACATGATCTCGTAATCATATTCTCGGTGCAATGCAGTATACAAAGGATCTTGTAGCACCACTGCTAGCTGGGGTTTTGCATTCTTGTTTTTGGTCGTGAAAGCGTCGGGGAAGTTCCTCAAAGACTTCGCCTGTTTTGCATAGAATGAGTTTGTGTGTGTGTGTGTATGTGTGAGGATGTGTGTGTGTGGATGCAAGTTGAATGTTGCGAATTGCCAAAAAAAAGATGCATCAACTCCGATTTACTGAACTGCTTTCTTGCCTTCACATAATTTTTGCAGACCGTTGCAAATTACAGACTTGGAATTTTCTAGTCTACGAGAACAAGCGTAAATTGGGACAGTTTTGCGTGGTGCTGTTCCCGCTAACGATGCTGAGAGAATTGCCGAGCTGGGCTGTGGGCGGTTTGTAGGAAACATTTTTGCGCTTTCTTTATGCTGGATTTGGCCATTGTGCTATATATTTTATACACAGAAATCGTAGACGTGATCTATTATTTTGGAGCGTTCATATTTTGGTGTATTCGCGATCTGTAATTTTGATATTTTCATGCATTTGTGATCTATAATTTTGTTGTATTCATATTTTGGTGTGTAATTGCAGTAAATTTTCCAATAACTAATTTCAATTAAGTATTTTTACGGTCGGTATTTTTTTCACTAAACCCAACCAACTTCTCTGTGAGTTCTTCAAGTGATCAATCAAGGAAAAAATCCTTTGATATCTAAAACATTTTTTCAATTCTATAGTTTTTTTGAAAAATAATCTTCATCAATCTTGCTTTAAATAAAATCTTGTTCGCATTTAAACAATTTTCCAAAATATCTTTATTCCAGGATGCACTTTGCACAAAAATCACCAATTTGCATTAACTTTTGTTCTTCTTTATACGAATCATCAGTTGACATCATCTTTTATTTTCTTAAAAGAATCATCACTTAAGATCTATCACTGTGCATTACATTTTTTTACCATTCATAAGATCCATCGATCACTATGCATTATCTTTTTTACCCTTCCTAAAAACCACAATTTTATTATCGTTCTTTTTATTCTAGCATGCAAACAGATAAGCTTCGGAGTGCAGGCGATGTTTGGACCCTTTGACCCCGTGCTGGGGTCTCACATCCAGTCCATCACCGACGCCCTCGACATCCCGCACCTCGAGAGCAGACTGGACCTCGAGCCTCAGGAGAAGGAGTTCAGCATCAACCTTTTCCCGTCACACGTCTTCCTAAACCAGGCCTACAAAGACATGATCAAGTTCCTCAAGTGGCAGCGCATTGCCATCGTCTACGAGGAGGATATCGGTGAGTCTTGCCCTGCCATCGTCTACGAGGAGGATATCGGTGAGTCTTGCATTGCCATCGTCTACAAGGAGGATATTGGTGAGTCTTGCCCTGCCATCGTCTACAAGAAGGATATTGGTGAGTCTTGCCCTGCCATCGTCTACAAGGATATCGGTGAGTCTTGCCCTGCCATCGTCTACAAGGAGGATATTGGTGAGTCTTGCCCTGCCATCGTCTACGAGCAGGATATTGGCACGAATAACATTGAGTACGGTTAATGCATCTGTAGGCAGAAAGTTAATAATTTGTCTATTGGCTGTAATTCTTTTGCAGGACTGCTGTAGGTACGAATAACATTAACGACGAATAAAATATGCAGACACACAAAGTTAGATTTAGTTGTGTATTTTTGACCTAATTTAATTGCATAATTAACAGTGGATTATTTTGGAAATTTTTGCCTCCTATAAAAAATTACATCAATGGAACATATGGTGNATTCAACAATTAATTGTTGTAGAACCATTCACGGTCGTCAGTCCGCTAGCAAATTTGGAACACTTTTGCTCGTATCTGCATCATGACGTCTAAACCAAAGAAATTCCCAAAAAATTTAAACCTCCTTTAACATCGTATGGCAATATTGTTTGTTGCAGAACAACTGAAATTCATTGCAACAAAACAAGCGATTTTCCTCGAGTTTTCTCACATTAAAAGTCAACCATTAGACTAAAACATATACCATGAGTTAAAATCGCTGTTACATATGAAGCGTTCTCTGATTCTTCTACTGAAACAAATTCAAAATGTTTTCGCTGATGAACACAAAATCATTGTTATCAGAAAATATTTTTCACTAATGATACACAAAAAATGTTTGGCAATAAATAGCGCGGAAATTAATTATATTTATACTCTCTTCCGATCAAAGCTTCGTCTAATTAACTTTGCAATGCATTTTTTTGCCTTAATAATAAATTTAAATAGGTAGTGGAGAGTTTTTCCTATATATTCCTTGCGTGACCTGAGGAAATTCGTAAGCCTTGGCCTGCAGTGTGAGCCGGAATGGCTGCGCGAGCCATCATCCCGGACTTGGTCGTCGGCCCGGAACAGCGGAACGGAGATCTCGTCCGTGTCAGCGGCTCGTCCGCACGGTAGTAAAGCTCCGCCTCCGCCCTTTAGTGCTCTCCTATCTCGTCCGCGAACTCGAATTTCCGCGCGATAGTTTCCGCCCGAGTATCCGGTCCTGGAGCTCTGAATTTATTGAAATAATTCTATACTTTCTATTGCATTAACTATATATGTAGTACTCCAACACGTGTGTTCATAGATTTAATTATAAATCCATGAAAATTATTTGCTATAGATTAATTCATATTGATGGACTACAATGTAGGCGAGGTTAATGTTTATTTCATTCCTGTCTTAATCCGACTATGAAAAATCAATTTTCATTCCAATTCTCAATTTTCATTTCAATTTCAAAACTCTTTAACGAAAATGGATTCCTTCCTTGAATAACCGATAACGCACTTTACATGTATCATATACATACCTATATTTAATTTATCCAGCGCCAAAGTATTCAGAGTATTGTGGCTTTGGCTTACTTGCTTTCACGCGTTAGAAAATATTCATTTTGTGTTTTTTTCTGCTCTTCCACTTTCATTTGAAGGTTTGTTTACTGATAACATGGCTAGAAATATCTCAGCTTGTTGCTTCCTTATCTCAGCTGGTCTAAGAAGCTCGCCTAACTCGCTAGGCTTTTGCCGTCCAGCGATAAAATCATAAAATATTAATAAAAATCATAAAATATTAATAAAATCACATCTACGATTGGTTTTAATGAACTTTGACAGATTTTTCGACTTCATCTATTCAAATCGAATGAATTATGTTTCAATTTCAAAAATATACAAATTGAGCTAGGATGCGTATGTTAACCTCTATTTTTGCACCCAAGAATTTGCTCAAGGTATCCAATATTGAGAAGGAATGAACACTAAGTGTTCACATTGAACACCTATAAGAGTTCATCAAAGCATATATCACCGCAAAAAAACGCCAAATCAGTGGTGGTTGCGGTTATTGAACAATTATATACTTTTTTAATTGATATCTAAAATGTATTAGATTTACTACACAGATTATTCCCACACTTGCTGGCTTAATGAATGGATTGAAATATCTTGCGTTTCCGGGCGCTCTTCGGTGAGGACGAAGTCGTTACTCATGCTGACCCGTTCTTTTATCGCACATTCATCGCAACATAAAAAATTTACGCCATTTTGAAGACTTCCTGTGGAACGCCGACTCTTCTCGGGACTCCCATACGTACAGATTTTTTTTGTCCACAATTTATTGCGATCTGGACCCAGTGACCTTTCATGTACCAAAATCTGCTGGATTACTGCACGAGCATCGCCGAGGTTGTAAATCTTTTGTGCCGTTTCGAATACGTTTCAGAATTGAAGCTAGGAATTATGTTAGGTTTTCGACTTATTATAGTTTCATGTTAATTGCCTGCATGTGGGCAATTAAGAATATTATTGGCGCTCTGGTAGAACATCAAATTTTTTTCGAGTCGGGAATCTAGCTTTAGAAATTCTAATGCAGATTTTTCAGATTGTGAAAGCTTCATTCACATCTTTTATGACATTTCACCATGAGCATCTTATTTAATATTCTGAATCCGAGATTCACATAAAAACGCATAGACTCTCCCTAGGTTTTTCTTGTAACACCGAAAATTATTTCAGTGCGCCACACTCGTCAAACACAATTAGAGCCGCCGATACGAACAATCGGGCAGGTTTTAGGAGCATTTTATGAACGCCTACCGTCTTTGATTTTCCCGTAAACGAAGCGAGCTTCGTTTTTACTGCCGTCTTAGTCAACTGTTTCACAAGAGGCGAAAAAAATATCCAACGTCGTTGTTGGAAAAGATTTCTTCTTGGGCGAGATGCAGAAAAAACTCGTACTTCAGAGACATGGAAATTTGTGAGCCTTTCCACTCGACCGATATTCTTTGTTTTATTAGCGGATATTTTGTGCTTCAGATTCTTTGTTTTACTGCCAAGAAATTTCTTATGACTCATTTTTTGGCTCCTGTGAGCGTTTTCCCCCTCGCAATCGGAGTGAATTTCTGGCCGTAAACGCGGTCATTTACCTCGAGGCTCTAGTTGGAGAGGAAGGTATCATTTATCATCATCATTCTCTCATAACATAAACTTTAATCGTTATCATTTACCGTTATCTCGTACCTGGTATAGTTAATAATTAAAACTTCCTGCTTCAGATTTTTTTTCAGTCAAATCATTACTCTTCCTAATACTTTTGCAGGTCATCATTACATATTAATAGATTTCTTCAAATGCGTTGTAAGCGATTGAGCGGCGTTCATTTTATTTTTCGTAGTAATTGTTGTTTTTGCCATTTGCTGTAGCTGTGGGTTGGATGTTATCTTTCTTCTCGATGTTTCGTCCTTGTGTCGAAGTGGGAAATTGGGTTGAGCAAAATGTTCAGCCATTGACATGGAAAATATCTGGAACTTTATTCAATCACTGAGGCACACGTTGTAGTCGAACATATTTTTATGCTTTTTACTTAATTCTTGTGAATTTTTTCAAGCTTTCGAGGAATTCGGTTCTTTTTGTCGAAACTATTAAGGCTTTTCCTGCGTAGAATTGGCATTTCTTCTCCTGCTTCTTTTCTGTTAAAAATCCGTCTTCCGTAAAAGGTTTCCACATTTATTTGCTACATCTGCTATAAGAGTACCCGATGTTGCGAACCGTCCATTGAAATACCTCTCGTTTACGATTCACACGTTATGTTTTGTACCGCGTCACAAGGTTTCTTACTTATCTTACTCCAGGCAATGTTGCTTACTTCTATAATTATTCAATTTTTGGGGGCAGATATTTTCTTTTGGGGGATAATTCACAAAGAGTATTGCACGCCGTTGCTTAGTTGATGTCTGATTGGAATCATTGGGAGAAATGTAATTCTTTACCACAGATATACTATACAGTAGAAACTGATGAACATTGTCACCTGTATAATGCTATTTTTGGGCTAATATTTCAACATGGTAAACAATGCTTTTCATAGTAGTAAGTATTGCAGAGAGTTGTCCAATTAGCTTACCTTAGCGATTTAGAGGCGACACAAATCAACTTAATTTTGCGTGTAAAAATTCAAATTCATTTTTTAAGAAAAAGTCTGATTTCGTCTTTTTTATTTCATCCAAGTGCAAAGAAACAAATAATTTCAAAGGTCAATAACTGAATATTTATTAACGATATGAGATTTATTCATCCAATGTTACAAAATATAACACGCAAAAGAAAACTGATTGTAAACGTGATTGTAAAAGTTTCTAAACTGCTGGCACAAACTCTAACCAAAATGAAACTAATAAATCGATTCTAGAAGTCAGTCAACCAAAACAAATGGTAAATCGTAAATATTACGGACGTTGAGTGTACTGATGAAAAAGTTATAATAAAGTACCTAAGCAATTGAAGTATGGCTGGATCGTTTGGTAGAGCCATTCAGTCATCACTTGCACGGAGCAGTGAGGGTTGAAGTACTTTCAGGTGTAGTACATCTGAAGTATCGAATTTAATTTAAAAAATTGGTTACCAATAAAATATTTTCGCAAGTACCTTCCAGCCATCACTTGCACGGTACAGTAAAGTGTGAAGTACCTACAAGTGTAGTACATTTGAAGTATTAAAATTTAATATGAGAAAAGCTGGTTGCCAATAAAATATTTTCGAAAGTACCATCCAGCATTCATTTGCACGGAGCAGTGGGGTGTGAAGTACAGTTCGCTTTAGCTGGGTAGTCGCACCATCTGCGCGCGGCTGAGTAGTGCAGTCTGGTAGGGCAGTCCATTTCGTGCGGGACGGAGTTAGAACAAAGGAGGAACTTGGTGCAATCCCTGGGATGCGGTATGATCCAGTCATCCTCCGGGCAGGAAGGGTGGCATTCTGTGGCTTCGGGATTCATGGCTTCAGGAGTTGTGGCTTCAGGAGTTGTGGCATCAGGAGTTGTGGCTATAGGAGTTGTTGCGTCAGGAGTTGTTGCGTCAGGAGTTGTGGCGTCAGGAGCAGTGTCTTCAGGAGTTGTGGCTTCAGGAGTAGTGTCTTCAGGAGTTGTGGCTTCAGGAGTTGTGGCTTCAGGAGTTGTGTCTTCAGGAGTTGTGGCTTCAGGAGTTGTGTCTTCAGGAGTTGTGTCTTCAGGAGGATTAAAGGGCAAGTCTTATGAAGAAAGATTGAAGATTATGAAGCTTTCCAGTCTCCGTTATCGTCGCCTGCGTGGTGACCTCATTGAAGTATACAAGTATACTCATGGTTTGTACAAGGTCCCAGAAGGATTACTAGAATTTGAAACAAGAACCAACACCAGGGGCCACAGCTATAAACTAAAAAACTGCGGTGCAACTTATCCACGAGACATTTCTTCTCGCTTCGAGTCAGCGACATGTGGAACAGCCTCCCTGAAGATATTGTTGACGCTCCGAGTATGAACGCGTTCAAGAACAGACTAGACAAGTCCATGCAGGAGCATATGTTTAGTCTTAAAATGCCTCGTACCCTACGGAACAACTGATATCCAGAAGCGATTTTAAATCGACCGTCAGTTGAAAAGATTTGATCAAAAGGCCAGTCTAGTCAAGAAAAGTACAAGAATCGGCGACAGGCCTATCCAGGCCTTTTCTTTTATGCCGAAGATACTATACTATACTATACTAAATCGAAGACTCAACGCAAGATCAAAAACCTAAAATAAGGTTCAGCATTCTGATGGTTCTTGCGACCAGAAGTAATAAATTTATATTATAATGAATGATTACCTTGCGCAGCGGCAACCATAGCTGCGAATAAGAAAATTATCCAGGAATTCATTTTTATGCAATTCAAAACCGAAGTTTCTTAAATTTGAAAAAGAACTTAATGCTTAGTATCACACACAATTTACTTCAAATATTTAGTAAATATTGCGTAAAAATGAAGTTCAGAGCAGTTTTTGGAACACGTGCTCTTTCTCAAGCAGAGACGATGCACACTGATGTCATTAACACTCCAGGTGCGGATAACTGCAGTTTTTCAACTCCTTAACAGGTGTGAAGTGCTCAATATATTTACAACGATGTCGACACAAAGATATACCGATGGCAATGAAACGCGGTATCGTCGCTTGCACGCTATCGTATTTTCCATCATTACTTGATAATTTACAATCTTCAATGGAAATTATTCAGAGCTGTGTCACATCATAGTTTAATAGTAGCGGATACTAAGTTATTCATTTATTATGTCAAAAAAGTAGGCGCAAACTAGATTGTCACTATCTAATTGATTATTTGCAATTGAAAAATCTTGAAAGAATTGAGAAACATGTTCTTCAATCCAGGTGCGTCTTATGTAGAACCAAAATTTATTAATCCAGCTTGAAACTTTTCTTCGTAGCCTCAAATGAAGTCTTGGTTTTTCCAGGACATAATTAAACCAACGTCATTTCATGAAAAATCAGATTTTCGTTGACTGCAACGTTGATTTTGATTGTCTTGCAAACGTTATGAAACATGACGTGAAAGTTACAAATGTCGACGTCTGTTCTAAATGCAGTTTTTCTTCATCATAGTGATAGGCCGAGACCAACAGCATTATTTTAACGTCAAAGTTATTCATTCCTCGGCGGTCGGAAATGACGTTGTAAAAAGATATCCAAACCATTCACACCTCGGCACACAACAGCAGCGTGTGCTTTGCGCTACTGCAAGTTTTGGTGTAATAAGTAAGACATTAGAGATCATCTTCCTGTAAAAGAAATGGGTGAATGAACCCTTCATGATAAACAAATGGGCGAATGAACCATTGACGTTATGAGTCATATTTCTAATACAGTGACGCAAACCTATGAGCAAGATTTTATAACTATATTTTTATATTTAAAGTCACACGTATTTTATCAGACGTGCTATGAATTAACTAAGTAATTTCCTTAGAAAGTATGTACATGCATTGCAAGAATTAACAATTTAAAACTGCATGAAAAGAATATATTTTCCATTAAGATGCGTTCATAAAACAATAAATAGGAATTATTTTGTTACGTTAAAAAGCAAGATTACGTTAAAAAGCAAATTTATTGCCCATTTTTGCGTTGTGTGCACTTTATGTAGATGGGTGAGAGAAATCCAAAGAATGCTGCCTCAAACAAAAGTAGTTCCTTCTATATCTATTCTCTAATGTATATGGCATGTTTTGTAAGAACCGATGCAATAAACTCACTTCCCCTGTTTTGTAAGAAGACAGTAACTACTTATTAATTATATTGTTATTTTAATGAGAAGTTCTCGGTAATTAGATTATAATTTTCGCTCTCTCTGTTAATTGTACTTGTTTTCCTTTATATTTCGTTTAACTGATGATAAAACTTGTCTCAGAAATGTTTTTTTTTCTGAAGATATTATTAATTTACATGACATTATTTATGATTTTAATTTCTTTGGGAATAATGATAAAAATATTGCGAGATACATATGCTATATTGTGCTCTTATATACGACCTCCAGGCTTGATGAAACTGCAGGAGATCATTCGGTCTCCTCCGAACAAGAACGTCGAGGTTTACATCAGGCAAGGAACTCCGGAGACCTACAGGGACATCCTGAAGGAGGTCAAGCACAAGCAGATCTACAGCATCATCGTCGATACCGTGCCAGAGAACATGCATCTCTTCCTTAGATGTGTAGGTTGTGTGACAGTGTGTGTTTGTGTGGGATGAATGCTTACTAAGATGTGTAGGTTGTGTTACAGTGTGTGTTTGTGTGGGATGGCAGCTTCTTAAGATGTGTACGTTGTGTTAAAGTGTGTGTTTATGAGGCATGACTGCTTCCTAAGATGTGTAGGTTGTGTGACAGTGTGTGTTTGTGTGGGCTTATTTTCACCTTGTGGATTGATTTCAAGGTATGTTTGTCTGTGTTGACTTGTACCTCATCTGTGTAGGTTGTGTGTCGACGTATTTTGCATTACTGTTGCTTGAAATGTGTAGGTTTTGTGCTAGTGTTTGTTTGTGTGTTGATTTCTGTTACATTTGATGTGTAGGTTGTGTGTCATGCAGCGTGTTGGATTTCTGTTACATTTGATGTGTAGCAGTGTAGGTTGTGCGACAGTGTGTGTTTGGGACCAATTTCGCCTGTTGGATTAATTTCAGCGTATGTTTGTGTTACATGACTCATTTCTCAGACGTGTAGGTTGTGCACCGGAGTGTGTGTATGCCCTGTGTCACTCACTAAATTGACGTGTGTGGCCTCCCACTCATTGATTTATACATTGTTCTTAATAATTTCCATTACCACAAAATAAAATGTCATGTATTCACCTCTACTATTTTGATTAATGGCTTTCGTATTAATTAATTGATGACGGTCTCGCCCGAATATAGATTTTTTTGTATCTCTAGTCGATTTGTCGGTAAATTTAGTGAAGAACGTTTTTCACTGTACTTTTGTTCCCTCTCTATTTTATCATTATTTTTATTAATCGTGGTTTGTGATTATCAGATATTCCTTCCTTGCAGCTGCTGCAGCTGCAGATGAACGACTATCGGTATCACTATCTCTTCACTACTTTTGTAAGTACTACTACAGATCATTGTTATACTTTATTTATTAATAAATAAATTCAAATTTAACTATCCAGTTTATTTATTACTTATATGTAAAAATGTAAATTCTGCAACACATTTTGTGAATTTATTGAGAAAAATTTTGCAGATTTTCAGATTTTCAAGAAAACAAGCCAGTTATGCTGATAATTTAGCTATCAAATCCTACACTTATATTGATATTACGAATATACTTAGACAGTATATTTCCATTTCAGTAAGCACATAACTTTTTATTTATTTTTCAATATTTTTTCATTTAAAATTCTTTTTAACCCTCTTATTCCCTTATATCCATCTTCTTGATTTATAATTCTTAAAATACATTTCTTTGGCTTTTCCTCTTTATGATATGCGTACTTCCATCACTTGTAGTTATTACAATGCATTTCAGTCACTGCAGTCCTCGTAATGAACTGCACTATCACTGCAGTGCTCTCACTGCACTGCAGCTTGACTGCCAATCAATGCACCGTCACTGCAGTGCTCTCACTGCACTGCAGCTTGACTGGCCAATCAATGCATCGTCACTGCAGTGCTCTCGCTGCACTGCAGCTTGACTGGCCAATCAATGCATCGTCACTGCAGTGCTCTCGCTGCACTGCAGCTTGACTGCCAATCAATGCATCGTCACTGCAGTGCTCTCGCTGCACTGCAGCCTGACTGGCCAATCAATGCGTCGTCACTGCAGTGCTCTCGCTGCACTGCAGCTTGACTGGCAAATCAATGCATCGTCACTGCAGTGCTCTCGCTGCACGGCAGCTTGACTGGCCAATCAATGCATCGTCACTGCAGTGCTCTCACTGCACTGTACCGTGACGTGTAAAGTAATGCCTGATTCTCCCCTAACTCCACGGAGATCTTCTCAGCGCAATTCGCAATTTCATGCGCTGTGATTCTCATCTTTGTCCAGAAAAACACGGTGGAATAAAATACATATAAAGTATCTTGCTTCTTACGTCGAGCCTCAGATGTCGTAGTCGTGAGATCTGTCACTGAGAATCAAGCTCTGGAATCTAATCAAGATCCTTGCAGTCTGCCAGCAACAACAAATTTGACCGGCATGAAGCACAAATTGTTGGCGATGCATATTCCATTGACAAACTGCTTTATTCCTGCGAATCTTTTCGCGCATCTAATAAATTGGATTTGCTGAAAACAAGTCGAGTCTGAAAGGGGCAGCGTGATCCAATTATCGCTTTTTTGCGCCCTCGGGCCCTTTAATTCCCAAACAACCCAATAGCTGCTATAACGAAGAGCCTGGGATCTTCTTTTATCAGCGGCAAAGCAAAATATTTTCATTGAATATATATACATTTTTCTTGTTCAAAAGTCTATCGTATTGAAAAACAGTATTGATCGACCTTTTTTTTCGTAAGTTGTTCTTTCTCTCATTGTAGCTGCGCAACTCGATCGCCATTTGTTTCCCCATGCACATTCTCGGAACGACGGAACTTTGCATTTGTCACCAATGATCAGTTATCAGAGTGGATTCTTCGGTATTGCAGAGGATAGCGATTTAATGTTTCGCATTATTTGTTCGCGTATATTATAGAGACCAGTTAACCACGGCGCCGGGAGTACATAAGATGCCCATACTTGTGCGTAAAAATTCCAATATTTGCGTCGTGCGTTTGAGTTTGGAATTCTGCTCTCTGACCAAATTCCATATTTACTTACAATAAGATATTATTTTTATTTTTAAGGAGCATAGTTTGCTCTTTTAGATGGGTACAAGCATATTCCCGAGTTTCATTGTCTGTAAAACTTATCGCAACTGAATGCAGTAAAGAACGTTAGGTGTTGATGTAACCGCGACTTTTGAATGAACCTGATCACCGATATAATCCGATTGTTCAACCTAAGCAAGTTCAACAGATCCAACTTTCAACTATTGTCACTATTAAATAGTCGCAACAGTCAGTACATTTTAGAATTTGTCCCGCAACTTGTTCAATTAGGTTTCAAATTCAAGCGTTAATGCCGCACAGGTTAAAAGAAAGGGGTGATTATTATTTCTTTACATTGGACAGGACATAGAAACGTTTGCCCCGCAATTAGAAAATTCTTTTATAGATTGAAAAGAGTATAGAAACGTTTCAACAGCATTTCAAAAACATTGTTTGCATTGAACAGGGCATAGCAACGTTTGCACTGCATTTAAAAAATTTTTTATACATTGAGCAGGGCATAGAAACGTTTGCACTGTATTTAAAAAAAATTGTATTCATTGAGCAGGACATAGAAACGTTTGACTTGGAAGACTTCAAGTACAACTACGTGAACATGACTACATTGAACAGGGCAAAGAAACGTTTCAACGTCATTACAAAAATATTTTTATACATTGAACAGGGCATAGAAACGTTTCAACGTCATTACAAAAATGTTTTTATACATTGAACAGGGCATACTGTATACAGAAACGTTTCAACTGCATTACAAAAATATTTTTATACATTTAACAGGGCATAGAAACGTTCCTACATCATTTCATAAACATTGTTTGCATTGAACAGGACATGGCAATGTTTCAACAACATTTCAAAAACATTGTTTGCATTGAACAGAACATATATAGAAACGTTTCAACATCATCACAAAAATGTTTTTATACATTGAGCAGGACATAGAAACGTTTGACTTGGAAGACTTCAAGTACAACTACGTGAACATGACTGCGTTCCGCATCGTGGACTCGGACAGCGTCGGTGTCAAGGAGACGCTGCGTGGCATGGAGAGCTTCCAGCCTGTCGGCCACCCGATCCTTAATAAGAGTTCAGTCATCAAGGTGGGTTTTAATATACATTTATAGAGTTAATAAACTGTGCAGGGCTTAATGATGATTTATTACGGATCCAGGGCTTTAATATATAATTATTTTTTATTTTATTTAAAAATAATCAACTTCTTGCAGGACAAGTTGCCCGCGATATCGGTTATTTGTTCATGTAGAAATGCAGTGTTATTAGGCTAAATTCAACACAGTCCTAATCACAATGCACTTTTTTGCATTTCTGTGGGTCATACTAACCCAGTTTGGCACCGAAAAAGGACGTATCAATTCTACGTTTGCTCTTTATTATGAATTTTATTCATATATTATTTGCCTAGTATAGATTTCACAGAGAAGCACATGTCGCAATATAACTTCACCGGCAATTTTGACACCTCCCCTGTCTCTTTATTAAAAATATGCCATCGTCAATATCGAGTCTTCATTTCAAGTCATTAAAACTTCAGCACAAACTATTGAAGTTTTTCTTCTTCTTCATGTTGAGAACCAGTCTCTAATTTGGTATCAAGTCTGTCGCCGATGTCGGGCATGCGGCTTACTTACTAAGTAGTTAAAGTGTCCCTAAGCCGCTCTCAAAACACGGCCAAAGCACTAATTAGTTACCGAATTTTAATTCTCGGTCTAGCAACCCAAATTGTAGCCAGGTTCTTGCTCAAAGGAAGACATCTTTTTTTTTCAATTTAACAGATCCTATTTGCAGCACAAACACGACACATGTTTGCAACTGAGTTTTTTCTAGTGTATAAAGAACTGCTGTATTTTTATTTCGGATGCGTGATGTTCAGGACCGTTCCAGCGTCTGTTTTAGCAGAGGGCAGTCGTATAAGCTATAAATTTTTATACTCAGAGAAATAAATGTGTCGTTGTGTCCAAGTAGTGATACATTTCACAAACCACAGCACAAGCATATATTATACATTTGAATAATATAATATTCATTTGACTATACATAATATACATTTGCCGACCCAAACTAGGTCAGAATGATCCATACAAGGGCAAAGAGGGCTTCGTTATTTAGACAAAGTCTTGCCTATTTCTCCGAGTGTAGAAGCGATGCACAAATGAAGTCTATGGTGTGCATAAAATCATTAAATTCTTTTGCAATAGGTTTTCCTTACAGAAGTTTCCTCAGTCATTCCGTTCTTCTCGAAAAACTCCAGAAAACATCGTTGTTGTGACACTGAAACATTCACTTATTCATTACATTTTAGTATTTTTTATAGATTATAATTAATGTTTCACATTGATTTCATCTTAGTATTTCATTAACTTACTATGTGTTATATCAGAATTACTCTTTATTACATTAGTTGTTCAATAGATACATTGTCTTGTAAGAATGTGATTGGTGCACAATGCACGTGGCTTCGCTCTGCTGTCGATCGAACTGATGAATTTTGCAACTAGTGAATCAATTCTAATTTCCCGTTTTTGAAACCAAAAATTTGGACCAGAATGATGGTGTACCGACATTTATAATCTTCATAATTGGAATACATGGCAAAAAAATGTTCCGCAAATGCTGTTATTGTAGTTAGAACAGGCAAATGTATGACGCTTAGTAAAGAATTTCGTAGTCAGAACAGCAAAATGTAACTTTTGGTAAGGAATTTCGTATATGTGGCAGAAAGGCGTCGAAAAATATACCAACGTGAAATATGGCTTCAAATTGCACCGCATCGCCAGAGAAGTGTTGTGTAGGCTCACGCGCTATTATCCTTGCTAATGCCTACAAAAACAAGGCTCGGCCTTTCGAAAAAATAATGCCTACCAGATTTTAGCTGAATAAATATGGCTTCGCTGCAAAACCCACGGGAGCTAATGTAGCTCCATCTCGCCACATCCTGATGCTTTGTAGGGGACATAAAAGCTGTCAAAACTGAAATATCGCCCAATATTATAAAAACATTTGAAATAACGCTAATAATCTGAATTATTACCCAATTTTATAAAATTATTCGAAAAAACGCTGATGATCTGAAATTTCACCCAATAATATTTAACGAATTGTTTAACGAATTGTAATATTTAACGAATAACGATGTGATGAGAATGGTTTGTCGTTGAATTATTCAACTGCTTTGAGTTTGTCAAAAATATCGCTTATCTTGTCGTGTCTTCGAAAATTACCATCATCAAGACGACAAGTCGCATCGCGACAATCGCGACTGCGAATTTCCGTGTCAAACTCAACTTTTGGAACAGATGAGCGCAGAGATTCTGTCTGTAGATCCCATAAAAAGAAGTCCGTGATCCGGAGGGATCGTCGCCTCGAGATCCCTTCTAAGATCTCCAGATAATTAGCCCCAAGTTGGGAGTAGTAAAGCCTTTATAAGCAGATTGCAAAGGTTCTGCAAAGCTCGCAAGATCTCAATGAAATTCACGAATGAGATTAGAAACCGAAAACTTAAACGCGGGTGGCGCTTCCGGTAATACTTCTTTCTTCTGAAATACTTATCATTTCGCCTAGTACTTCTCACTTCACTAATACTTCTCACTTCACTAATACTTGGCTGAGCTGGAGACTCTTTACGACACGCGTGCTGGCGCGTTCATGGGATCTGATGTATTATTTGCATCTTGTTAGCCTCATTCACATCGCCCGAGAATTCCAAACATCCTTCCTGAATATGAATGGGGCATTTCACAGAGTATTTCGGAAGAAGATTGCATTGCAAGGATAAAAGTACGTTGAATGACGAATATGATGCTACATTGCTCTTTATTTGCTGCACGATATGCTGCTGCATTGCACACGACATGCTGCTGCATTGTTCACGATATGCCGCTGCATCACACGATATGCTGCTGCATCACACGATATGCTGCTGCATTGATGTTTGATATTTGATATACATTGTACAGCTACCACTTACTACCAAGTAATTTGTTGTAGAGCAGCTGAGAATAAATAATGTTAGTAACATGTGGGCAGGGTGGCCCAGTGGTTAAAGTTCAGAGTACCAAGATTGGCGCAGAGAGGCGCGGGTTCGATCCCAGCTCTGTGCGCCAGTTNCTACATCAATACGGTTAGTTCAGCTGCATCAATACGGTCAGTTCAACTATATCAACATGGTTAGTTCAGCTGCATCAGCACGGTCAGTTCAACTACATCAACACGGTTAGTTCGACTGCATCAACACGGTCAGTTCAACTACATCAAAACGGTCAGTTCAGCTGCATCAACGCGGTCAGTTCAACAGCATCAACACGTTCAATTCAACTACACTGTATCAACACGGTCAGTTCAACTGCATCAACACGATCAGTGCAACTGCATCAACACGGTCATTTCAACTGCATCAGCACGGTCAATTCAACTACATCAAAACGGTCAGTTCAGCGGCATCAACGCGGTCAGTTCAACAGCATCAACACGGTCCATTCAACTACACTGTATCAACACGGTCAGTTCAACTGAATCAACACGATCAGTGCAACTGCATCAACACGGTCATTTCAACTGCATCAACTCGGTCAATTCAACTAAATTAACACGGTCAGTTCAGCCACTACATCAAAGCCGTCAGTTCAACTACATTCTACATCAACACATTCAGTTCAATTGCATTTACCCGGTTGGCTCAAATTATCGCTTGCGACATAACTGGAAAATTATACAAGTGCACGATAATTACTTTATTATGTGCTTCTCATCAATAAATCGTATAAAATTTCATTTTCAAAGTTTGACATATTTTCTCTGATTTGATTTCTATACGATGATGTCTATTTACGTAACTGATGGAGTCTCAGGTAGCTGATGATAATCATGAAGTTCAATTATTTATAAGGTGCAGTATCAGGTAGCTGATGATAATGATGAAATTTCATTATTTATCAGGTGGAGTACGATGGTGTTACAGGACCTATCAAGTTTATGGAGGGTAAAAGAAGCCATTTCAAGCTGGATGTCCTCAAACTGAGATGTGAAGAAGTCCGTAAGGTGAGAACCTGATGAAGTACTCTTTAGAAAGGCTGGGTCACGATATTCATGATTTATTGTAATGCTTCGGAAACGTGTTTAATTTGTGAAGTTTTACATTATAGAAGCATTTTTTCAATAATGCTGCTCTATCATGAAATCTGATGAAATTAATAATTTTTTTATTATTTGCCGCTCTAGGTTGGTCAATGGACGCCAGAATATGGCATCAACATCACAGATCGACAAGCCTTCTTCGAGGGCGGTAAACCTAACATCACACTCAAGGTCATCACAGTCGAGGTGGGTGGTCTAACATCACACTCAAGTTCATCACAGTCGAGGTGGGTGGTCTAACATCCACTCAAGTTCATCACAGTCGAGGTGGGTGGTCTAACATCACACTCAAGGTCATCACAGTCGAGGTGGGTGGACTAACATCACACTCAAGGTCATCACNTTAATACGGCAAAACTTAGTTTTATTTCAGCAAAGCAGTTTAAAAAACAGGCACGGTTAAAAGTTAGACTTGGGTGACATCAGGTACATTATTGAGGAGCAGTTTACTTAATCTATCAAGACACAGCCACGACTCGGCGTTAGAGAAAGGAATAGCTGAGAGTCGACAGAGCGTAGTGAGAACAGATATGAACCTGTCTCTTATACACATCTAGATGTGTATAAGAGACAGGTCGGTAATAGAACTTCATCATTATCATCACTTACCTGATACTACACCTGACAAACAGATGAACTTCATCATTATACACTTCATCAGGAAGTGTATGTGAGTGTGTCGTAAGTTGCATACGGAAGTTGCACCTGTAGAATGAATGAATTACTATGATGCTAATTGACGGTAGTAAATACAATATACAAAGATAATGTCGGTAGTAAAACAATATACAACGAAAAATTTCAAATTTATTTAATCTATTTAAGGTTTTACCTCAGACGTCGGTGGACAAGGCTGAGCAAGGTTACAGTTAACCAACGTAGAAGTAAATCGGATGGTTTACGAGAGAATCGATAATTATAAGAATTAAAGGAATGCTATTCGTTTAACTGATTAAAACGAAGGTACATATTGGATGCTCCAACAAGGTCCTCGCAGTCCCAACAGCGCGAGTCGAAAAGTGGCGCTGGGACGATGTCTGATCATAAAAACTTATCAGGATGACCCACTCAAAAAGTTCATCAATATTTCGATAAAGTCTCACTCATTTCTCTGAGTGAAGGATTGAGAAAATTGTTGACTAGTTGAGTGATGGAAGAACAGTATTTTGTTATTGTTATTTCAAATTGAAAACCGTTCTTGTCTGTATAGTTTATGGAGCCCTGGCTGACCCACCTTGAAAAAAAAGTGTTTCATTATTTGGACAAAAGCATGCACACAAGTGACAAGGTGAACGTGCTGGACTAATGCTTAAATTATACTGTTTAATTATAATACCGTTCTCAAATTATACTCTTTTCTTTGTGGATAAAATTGTTCTAATTATTCCTATTTAAATCTGTACCTTTGAGGCGAATTTTGTTAATTCTTCATATTTAGGACGACATATTGCAAAAACACATTGATTGTTAAGGCGTAGGTGAACTGCAACGTATTATACCTGAATAGACTAAGAACATCGTGCTGAAGGTGCTGAGCCCTCGCTGGATGCGAGACTCTACGCACGATCACCTACGTCCAGCTTGTCGAGTTTTTTCTCAATCAACTCGCCAGTCTGCCTCAACTTCTGCTCACGGCATTTGGGCCTTACGCTTATATTTACCGATTTTTATAGCTTAATACGAGCCGAAGAAGTATTAGAAGGGCAGTTATATCTTGATCAATTGGGGGCTGGTACTACGTGATGCTGACGTAGTCTTTGACTGCCGTGTTAAAATTTGGTCAATCTTACATGCGAAGTCGGTTAGATAGGTAGAAGCAAATTATCAAGCCCGTAGGCACACCTTCCGCACTCCGTAACGTTTCCCGTCATGAAACTTGCCATTTTGACATTGGGCACGGCGGCGCCCGTGGTGGCTACGGCCCGGGAGGTTAACGAATTTCGATATTAGGCTGCACGAGCTCTAATGTTCTGAGCAGCTCTTTAGGTAGAATTGTAGATCTGGATATTGCGCTTATGCGCGGCGGCCTCTCTGGTCATTCCGTCAACTTGAACCAACCCGTTAATATGAAATAGACTCCCTTCACAGCAAATGGCGCTGAATTATTTTCCTTGTTCCCTCTGGGACCAGTCATTATTGACGTCGGCCGACTGAAGATGGAAAGAGTGATTAACACGCTTCAACTTTATAAAAGTTGCTGTTAAATACTATTGTTAATAGAATAGACAAATAATTTATAAAGAATGTAAGGTAAGTTCTGTCTTTACGACTGTGCTACATTTGAACCTGTCGAAATCGTTTATCGTAAAAATGGTCAAAATTTATTGTTTTATACGTACTTTTTTTCATTTATACGTCAAGTTATTAGATATACATACAATCCTGGCATTCGTATTTCAATAAAATACTTGTGAGGATACTGCAATTCACCTGTGGACGGTCTTCAAAATGTAGAACTTGGGGGCCAGCGCTTCTATGCAGTAGTCTACACGTACATTCCGTGCTTTCGCACCAAAACCGTGCACTTCAGAGCTTAGGTTCCTTCCTCCTCGACCCCCAGCCATTGCCAGACACCTTACTTCGCTCAACGTAGCCTTGTGGCCACTGTCGCACATGAGCGAGGAGCATGCCTCGAAGAGTCCCACTGCTTCCAACTTTAACTCTCCCTGCTGGCACTTCTAGCTGGAAAGTTTGCACGGGTTCACTGACAGAGTTCATCGATGTCATTGCGTTGTCGGGTCGCAGAGCAAGTTGAGCACTAAGGAGAGATTCTTTGGGGCTTGGAACCAGCTTTGGATTCTTCGGGTGTCCTGAGCATTCGTCGGAAAAAAGCAATTTTTACTGGCCCCAAATCGAGCACTTCTCATTGCAAGCATTTATTTCGTAACCCTTTAGCCTTGGGCTTAGCCTTAAGTGAATCTTAGGGCACTCAGATTTCCACGAGTTTTATTGTGCGCCTTTGAGTCGCGACGTTGGATGGCGGTGAAGGCTGCCTTCGTTTCAATTATGCAGTAGTTTGAACGTCGCCGCATTCATCAAAATTTTCACGGGGCCTGTTGTGTCGCTTAGGAACCTCCGAGCCTCGAACCATATTGTACGGATGCCAGAAAAATATAGCGGCCATTTGTTCGCCTATCTTATCTGGTTGCTTCAGGCGGCCAACATGACATGTTGGTCGACTTCAGAATTGCCCAGGAAATGGCTGTTGAAAATTTCATGGGTAATTGGCTGGTTAATATAATCCTCCAAGTTTCTTCCGACTACACTGGATCATGTTTCTCTTGGGCTGCTGTTAACATAAGTAACATAGTGATGTCGGCGCTAAGGAGTAAGGCCTGGTGACTGTGGTGGGCCTGTCGCCGATTACTGAACTTTTCCGTGGCTTCTTCACAGAATATCTAAGTGTCATTTGTCCGGATCTTTTCAAGACTGACGATAGTTTGAAATAGCCACTAGACTTCTACCGGGTTCGATATGGTGCTAGGCATTTCAAGTCTGAACATATATTTTTCCACATCATTATCTAATCTGTTCTTGAACGGGGTCATACTCGGGAGTGCCAACGATGTAATCAGGGAGGCTGTTCTATATGTCGGTGATTCGAAGCGAGAAGAAATGTTGTGGGACAAGTAGCAGCGCAGTTTTTTAGTTAATAGCCGTGGCCCCTGGTGTTGGTTCTTGTTTCAAATTCTAGTAATCCTTCGGGAGCCTTGTACGTATAAACCACGAGTATACAAGTTAGTCCTAAGCTTGTGAGAAACTTTAGACACTGAATTTCCAAGCGTTTTATTTGCATGTCTTGTAGAACCCTAGATTCTGCAGGTAATGGAAGGGAAATGTCGGCTATCTACTATGAATTTTGATATAAGAAACAAAATATAAGCAAAATTAATTCCATGTATACCATGAAAATTTAACGTCAAATTAATTGTGAACGGCCTCTATAAGTTGTTGCTCTAAGTCAACTCTCCGAAATATTTTCCACTTGGAGGAGTATCACTGCAAGAGACAAACGAATTTACATGAAACTTCGAGCGAACGACGGAAGGTTTGAACTGAAACGTGTGACCCGTACATTGTTGCATTATATTCAGTTACTCCATAGCAACAGAGCTTATCTCCGTATTCGTTCCGTTTCTGTATTTAGCCATTCGTATTCGTGCGACTCTAACGAGGCCGCGGTCGTCTGGTAATATTTCGTAGACGTTTTTTTTTTATTCCATTTTTGCCACCTCTTAAGAGGTGGCAGGAGTTGCTTCTTCCAGCTTGACCAGAACAAGTCTGCCAAGTAGCTACTGAATTTGCCTTCACCTTTTCTTAATGATATTCTCAGATGAATCAACGATGCCTGGCAGTAAAGTGACACCGGCACTCCAAAGGAGCACGTGATTCCGAGTTAGCGCTTAAAAATTGTCCGGATTATTCGACGACTCGGTGAGAGGCCGGTTATTTAGACTGGCCTCGACCTCGAAAAAGAGTGTCGAGAGTCCTTCGTCTGATCACCTTGTGCGTTGTTAATTCATCAGAAACGACATGCAAGTTGCGCACGATGCGTATTTCGCGCTGCCATACTCTGCCCAGGGGCGAAGCGTGTGGCGGCCGAAAATGCCCTTCGATGTGCTTCAGCCAATCTTGGAATAGAATGTGTCGGCACTGAAGAAATAGGCCCATAGCCTATTGCCGATTCTTGAATTTTCCGTGACTTGATTCACAAGGGATCGGGCCTTTGGAACCCGATCTTTCCATAACTGACGATAGATTGAGATAGCTGCTGGACTGAAAGCAGCATTTTAAGACAGAACAAATGCTCCTGCATAGCTTCGTCTAGTCTGTACTTGAAGGCGTTCATACTCGGAGTGTAAACGAACAGGGAGGCTGTTCCACATGTCGGTGGCTCGAAGCGAGAAGAAATGTTGTCGCATGGATGTGTTACAGCGCAGTTTTTTTTTAGATTATAGCCGTGGCCCCTGGTGTTGGTTCTTGTTCCAAATTCTAGTAGACGTTTTCAAGTCCAATAGAATTTGATTTGTCTAGTATTCCAGCTATTTATGGCGTCCTTGCTTTCGCGTTGACCTTCAACGAAATTAGCTGGTTTACTGAACGGAGCAATTTCACGCTGCGGCAGAGACAAAAGAATCGCCCCAACGCAGAAATACGAATCTGTGGAGAGAATAAGCAACTACGAG